GAGTGCGGGGCTCGCCGGGGCGGCGGGCGGCGGGGAGGCGCTGGAGGGCAGGAGGCGGAGGCGGGTGCAGACCAGCGCCGTAGCGCTGAGCGGGCCGGGCCGACAGGGACGGGTCCCTCACCTCCTCTTCCCTTCCCCTCCCCGCCCGCCCTGCCTGCCTCCCTCCCTTCCTCCCGTCGCTCTTGCCTCACGCCGGGAACTGGCTCCCGCCTGGCGCCGCCGATCGGGGAGCCGTTCCTTCCTGCCCGCGGCGCGCTGGCGCCCTGGCGAGCCCCGCGGGTGAGTATCCCGCTGCCCGGAGGACGGGGGTCTGGGGCTTGGGGCGTGCACCCATATTACCCATTTCCAGAAACTTCCAGGTCCCCAGGGAGGGGGCGTCCGGGGATACCTTGTTGGGTGGGGTGTCTTGGGCGCCGCCCTGCCTGCAGCTTGAGTTGGGGGCGTCGCGGGTGCCCGAGGGGTGGGCGCGGGGTCTGGGGCTCCCGAGCTGTCGGAGGGGCGGGGCGGGGGGCATGCTCCCTCTCGCCCTGTCTCTCGTCAGCGCCGCTTCTCCCGGTTTCTCTTGCAGATGCTGCTGCTAGGGGTGGTGGGAGCAGCCGTGGGACGCGTGGCCGGGAGCGGGGGTGACAGCCTGGGATCCCGGGGGCTTCTCTGCCTTGTCTTCCTCCTCTCTCTGTTCCCCGTGTGGCTGCGGCTGACACTAAAGACTTGGTAGCCACCAACCAAGTGCAGTTTCAATGGAAAATGAAGGTAAAGGCCCCTGGCAGCCGGGTTACCGCGCGGAGTTGAGGGTGTGGTGGTGTGTTTTTAAGTTGCCTTTTCCTTTCCCTACCTTTGTTTGTTTTCCCGATTTTATTTATTTTTCTTTTAAGTGTCCAAAGAATTGCTTCCTTAGGATAGCTCGCTTTTTTTTTTTTATGTTGGTAACATAAGGCATTTCGGAAATGCAAGTCCTGTGAGGTGACTGAGCTCGATTCTGCTTTCCCGGTCAGACCTTGAGCTTGGGGTAGCAGGAGGGAAGTTTTCCTTTCAGATAGCATCTCTGTGCAGATCGCTGTTTGAAAGCAATCACTGGAGAGGAAGTGGGAATGGGGAGGGGGAATAAAAGGGACTGCATCTCTGTATTTGCACATCAAGCTTTGGTATGGTATGTGCCTGGGTTCCTTTATAAGAAAGGAAACGTTTTTGTTTTGTTTTGTTTTTAATTAAGTACAGCTTTGGGGGGGGGGGACCCACCATTTTTCAGTTCACACACACACACAAAGTTCTGAATTAATGAAATATTATTCGGTGATTTCCTTTCTTAAAGTCCCACCCTATTTCAGAACATCATTTAGCAGGTTGAAGTGGAACCTGTTTGTCCACTGTACACTTTGGACACACTGGATTATTATTCACCTGATTCCTTTGGCCTCATTTAAATATTTAATGCTTTTCTAACACAGCACTGATTATTTTGTGAAAGCATTGAAAATTCTGAATAAGTGATTTTTTACCCTCCCGAAACCATCACAGTTATGCTTTGTGTGTGTGTGTGTGTGTGTGTGTGTGTGTGTGTGTGTTCATTCCTGGCTGCGAGATGCTATAAAAGATAATTACAAATTACAGTTTGTCCCTGTGTATCTTTTGGTTTTAAAACACTGTGCAGTCTGGTAAAAGGGGCTGCTGTAGAGCTTGCTGGCTGCTTTCTAATTTGCTTTTCCCTTGTTGAGAATGTGAGCTTGATTGTTCTAAGTAGGACTAGTAATTATAAAATAGATGTTTCTTATATGCAGTAATCTGTGTTGCTGTCTGAACCCCTGGGATATATGGGAAATATGATGAGAGGCAAGATTACATTGCTTAGTTCTGCTTTGGATGGATAAGTGGTGGAAAACATTTTCTGAAATACCAATGTGTATAACTGTAGAGGAGTAATACTGTCTAATTGGGTCTTTAGACACAGCATTTGAAAGCAGTTATATTTTTGTCTGGTAGTATGGAAAAATCACTTTTCTGAGGCCTTTTCCTCTTTGTCTTTTAGTTATAGAATTAAAGGCAAGTCCTTGCTGTACAAGAGACAAAGAATGTTAAGTGCATTCATTCATATACCTGTTTCTTGGTTGTTGCATCTTAACATCTGAAACTTGAGCTTCTGCTTTGAGAATGTTACAGATTTAAGAGAGTAGCCTAAAAAAGGTGATTTCTTAAGATGTTACTTTTGTTTCTTGATCTCAGGAAAAGGAGCATGACTAGTAAAGCTCACTCTCATATTGTCTACTGAGGTGGGAGGGAATGGCTGTGAGAAGGGAGCATGGTATATGCTGTGGCTGACTGGGCCTCTCTGTACTTTATAGCCAAATAGGAATGATTTGGCCTCATAATAAAAGATTATACAATTCTTAAAAAATGGTTTTTTTTCCTGCTTTGTAATAATACAAAGGCCATTTTTGTCAGTTTCTCATTACCATAACATTTTTCTTTTATCATTTTAAACATTTTAAAGAACTTCTATACAGTGTAGAAATTTTTAAGAGCTATTGACCATTTTGAAATTATATATATATGTATATATATATAGTGTCTCAAAAATGTATATACACTTTGTACACTTTGAATAATTATTAATCCCAATCGATTAAATCTGAAAAGGAAGAAAAATCAATTGAGCTATTAGCTGTTAAAGTGTGTATATATATTTTTGGACCACCCTATATTATTATCCCTTTTCTTTCTATAGTTAGTATCCTCCTTTGACATGGTGTGTTAGCATCTTAGGGGTGTGAAACAAAAATGTATTTAAATCATGCCTTCACTATTAAAAGTTTTGTGACTTCACCTTTTTGAGTCTGTTTTCTCACATGTAAATTGGAATAAAGAATATGCGATTTGGAACCAGGCATTCTGATTTGAATGCTAGATCCCCACTTAGCATAATTTGGCCTTATGCAAATTATTAAAGCTTTTTTGTGCTTCAGTTTCTTCATCTATAAAATAAGGATATTGATAGAACCTGCCTTCTGAGGTGGTTGTAAGCAGGTATAACAGTATTTGGCATAGAGCAAGTGCTCAATAAATGCTAACTATAAATAGCGTGGTCCAGTGTTTGCATACTAATATATTACCAGGCATTAATGCGGTTGTTATGACAGCTGAAGGCTAAAAGGAAAACAGTAGTGGTTAAAATGCTCTCCATGAAGTTGTCATTATTAGGCATCAGTGGAGTTAACTACAGAATTTTCTATAGTGCTGTGACTTAAAGCCCATAGAGAAAGTTGGAGTGCTACCAAGAAGCCAGGGGCCAGTGTAAGAAGAGACAGGCTTAGATTTGAATCCTGACAAGTTATTTTTTCCTCTCCTAAAAATCTAATGAGTTACTATGCTTCTGAGCTTTCTCAGCTTCTAATGTTTACCCATCTGTAAATGGAATCACGCCCTCTTGGAGGGTTGGTGTGAGGAATAAATAAAGCCTGGTGTGCGAGGTGCCCAAAACGATGGTTGACACACAGTTAGCACGCATGAATGAGCAATTGCTGCTATCCCCAGAAACAGAATCCTCCAGTAGGTTTGTAGATAAGTCACATCTCTAGTTATTTACTGGGTAGAATTGATAGTGGCTCCCAGGAGCATTAGCATGAAGGTTCTTAGGGAGTGTGCCATGTCTGCAGTGGTTGTTGGAGGGCATGACATCCATGTGGTTCCTTTCAGCAACTATGGTATTTTTCTTTGGTACTTCAGTTTTTATTCTTTTGGATCTCTCTCTTATGGTCCACTTAATCTTTCTCAGCAAAGGTTGACAAATTTTTAGCCTTAACCTCCAGGATGCTTCATGAATACTTCCTGCTAGTCACTAGAAATACTTGAAGTGTTAATTTCCTGGAATTTCAGGGACTGGTCCTGGACATCCATTTGTGGGTTATGATTTTATCCACATGCTTTGGAACTCCCTTTTGCATGTTTATCATAAATCTAAACAGATACCACTTAGGAATCTGAGATAAGTAAAGGCCCCTTTTCTGTGTGTGTGTGTGTGTGTGTGTGTGTGTGTGTTTAAATTAGTCATATATATGTATAAAGGGATGGCTTATTAGAAAAGATATTTTTTAGCTGGATAATTTTGCAAATAGTTTGTCTTTCCCAAAAATGGATATTTTCTTTGGAATACATTTGGCCTTTCCCATAGAAAACCAGTATAAACTTAATGCACATAAAACTATTTAATCGTAGCCATTAGTTTCTTTGACTAATGGATAAACATGTAATGATCTTCAAGATTTCAGGATATGCTTAATTCAAAGGTTTTAGGCAGAGCTAATGGGTCTAGAATAGATTCACCCAGTTTCTTTGGCTAGCATTTGAAAATGATAATATGTTTATTTACACTTTAATTTTTAAAGTAGTTGCTTATTCAATTACAAATTATTATCTATCTAGGAATGTCTCAAGAAAGATTGTGTTAGTAGTTGGAGGAAATATAAGGAAAAAGGGACAAGAAACTACCTTAATTTCATTCCTTTAAGTAGGAATAGGAAACTAGGCTATTAAAATATTTTATATTTTTAGGTGTTGAAAAATGTAATTTATTTAATTTGCAGTTTTGTTAGTAAAATACTATTTTTAATCAATATTTCTAGGAAAGAGTCAAAACTAAAAGATTATGTGACAACATTGTATAAACGTAGTAATTTAACAAAGAGGAAGAATGCCGCAGAGATAATTTCTGAGCAATAGCCTTCTGACAGTTGAATCCTAAATACTTGATTTGTCTTAATGTTTTTATCCTCCATTTAACGTCAGCAGATTTCCACTCCGTTAACTGAAGCAGTATCAATCAAAATGGTCTCCTAGGGAACACACCCCTTGGGGCTCAAGGCTGATTTTCTTTTGAGATCTCGGTTAACCATAATCTGTTTGACAAGATTAAATTTTGTTTTAAAACTGAAAAGAACAGCATAGTTTGATGATAAAGTTAGTTGGGATGAATTTTAAATTACACTGTTGTTACATGTAACATCTTTAAAAAATTTTTTTTGACATGTAACATCTTAAAGATCTCTTAAGAATTGGTTCAAAGGGTCTACTCATATTTATTTTGTTAAAAGACGTTCTTTTTATAAAGATTTCAGGCATCAGTTGTGACAACATCGTCTTTACCATTTTCATATGGACAAGTGTTGGTAAAAGGCAGTAAAGTAAAAATTCGTTGGGTGAACCTAGGTTAATGCTATCATTTCATACAGAAAATGATTTCTTGGAAAAAATATGTCAGGCTAAATCGATGAATTTCCTCTTGAATTTATATGGCTGATATTTATATGCATTTGTTCATATGTCTTCTATCTTCAAGGCTTTACGTGACTATTCACAAAGGCATACATCTTAGAATTACAAGGAAATTACTCAGACTGTGTTGAATTAGATTAGTTTAGGCTAGGCTTATTTGATCCATTTAGAAAAAATTTGAATGAAATGTTACAAGACTTTCTTAGATTATAGACAGTAAAAGCAGGGATCAAAAGCATTACCTTAAGGTGGCTGTAACTGGGCATCTAATGCAAGTTCAGTTTTTAATTTTTGCTTTTTCTTTCTGCTTCAGATATTAAAGAATGTGTGAATTGTAATTATTTTATATAATAGAATTATTTAATAATTTAACATATCAGAGATTAGAGAATGTGTGAATTGGAATTGGAGTGTGTGAACTGGAATTAGTTCATTATAACTCCTTGCTTAAATAAAGTCTTTTAGTTTGACTTTTTGATCATTGCATG